AAGCCCGACCACCACGTCAAGGTGGCAGCTTTAGGTCGGGGGAAGTTGAACCAAGTTCTAGCAATAAATGGTGGCTTTATTTTCCCATTCTGCTGTTAAACATTGAAAAGAAAGTTGTACTCTATTTGGAACAGAGACGAAATAAGGGTGGTCAAGATGAAAAACAGTGGTCAGTCAGAATGAAAGACCGGAGCACGGTTTGTTGCGATCCAAAATCGACCCCCTTTAAGTAGACCATGACTGGAGCTCGAAATGAATCGTAGGTAGCGAAAAATCTCATGTTAAGCCGGATGCCCACCACAACTTATCGTCCCAGTAAGTTTGGTTTGTCACAATTCCCCCTTCTTCGTTCAACGACGGATACTCTAGATCGGTATCTCACACTCACAAGTTCCTCTGGGGAAGATGCTATGCAGAATTAAGAATTCCCCCGTGCTTTTCTAGTCCTCTAGCGTATTGCTCGGATAATGTTTATCAAGGCTCTCTTGAAGTTATATCAAAGATACTGTTCTTTGTGGTGCCTTACATTTCAGGTAATGAAACTTTCTCAGCTTTGTTACTTATCTGGTGCTAACGTATTTAATAACATAAAAAAGGACTTGGAAGTCCTAGGACACCGGTTTTTAGTCCTGCCTGCGACGCTGATTTTCAACAGTTTTTAACCTTCTATTTCACAGATGCAGAACCGTTAGGGGCTGTGGAGCGCATAAGCAATCTTACATCTGTCTACTTAGACGCACTGTCCAAACTTTTGTACGATCCCACTGGGTTCTCACCTCGTCACGTTTCCCTCTCATGGATACGCGCGGCCTATCGTTTCATCGTCCATGCTGCTTGTCAACCAAGCCCTGAAAACGATATCTTCAGCACTGCTGTCGGATTCTTGGTTGTCCTTGAGGCCACGGAAGCTGACTTGTGGCACGACTTCATGCTGTACTTTGTGAGTGTTTCTTGAGTTCCCTTTATTAGTTTACTGGCTTTAGTTTGTGATCATAGGATATATTTAAGTATGCCATTTTTGTACACCTAGATGACTAAAAGGGTTTATTAGTGTCTGAGTAGGTGTTGTCTTATCTGCGAGTGTTTGTCGTTCTGATCACGACTTACTTTCAGGAATTTGGCGAAATGATTGCAGTGGACCCAAATATCGCTCCAACTTTCGCCTTGCGTGTCTCCTTCCCTGCAGGCGGTAGGGTGGACAAGTTAGACTGCAGCACAGTTGATCTTCCCCCTATCTTCGCATTGTATCAATCCCTTATGTTCAGAGTAGGGACTGGCTCTGCAGACCCCTGAGTCTAAGGCCACGTATTCCCCACTTTGAACAGCTACGTACGCGCTACTTCCCCCGCCCGTTGCTGCCCAAACATGTTCCTTCATGGTTTTTGACTTTTGAAACCCAAGGCATTTTTGTCACAATTAGAACATAGGGTTGGTGGAAACCCGAGGACTGTGCGTATTTGATGGACCCCAAGAGGAGCGAAACCGGCCGTGGGTGTTTCAAGGGTTTTCAGCAACCTTATGAGTAGTGCGTCACGTCCAAGCTGGTCCAACATATGTTTCGATCGAGCAATCGTTCCCATTGGGTTACTGGGCACTTCCGCTTCGTGCCCCTCAACCGATTTTCTGCCATTTAAGGTATTTTCATCTTACGACTCCGGTTCAGTAAAGTGTGAATCCAAATTAGACTACCAGCATTATCGCTTTCACCATCCGTCACGAGCCAAAGGCTTGGTTGAGGACCCTAATCGTCCTCCTGTCTAGGTGTGGGCGCCCTGGCAGTATCCCAGCCCTCGTACAACCATGACCTAACCAACTAACAATATTCTCATGCCAAATCGGCCGTCGCATGGTGCCATCAGCCGGGTTGCCATCCTTGGTG